TTTTTTACAGTAACAATTACACATTTTTAGTTTTATTACTTGTACAGGTCTTAATACTTTTTTTCAAGAGGATAAAACCAAATGTGATAAGGCAAAACACAGTCAGTCAAATAAAAAAGATAGACATAGTACATGATATAAAAACAGAATGCAACGTGGTCAACAATGGTTACCATAATGCCTGTTGCTGTCTTAAAAAAATTGCCTATATCATCAGTTATAATAAAATTGAACAAAGCAGTACAGAACAAAACAAATAAAATTGAAAAAATGGAGACATTACAGGTCTTCAAAAGAAGATAATAGTCAAACCAGAATGGGCATCATAGTGAATCTTATTGTCTTCAAATAGTTGCCTATACCCCAAACTTGATACTATCAAGCAAAACAGAATAGAGTAAAATCAGTCAAAACAAGATGGTGAGAACAATACAGAGCTTCAAATCAAGTTAATAGGAAATCAAAGTGGTAACTATAATATATCCTGATTTTTTGTATATTTTCCCATAATTAAAAAAATAAATAATAAAAAGGAGATTGAGATAAAAGAGGACATATCAACACAACAGCACAAGTCAGAGCAACAATTTAAGCAACATAGTGTTTCACCACAAGATATCCCAACGTAACAGTAGTTACCATAATGACTCTTTCCTTGAAATATTTGAGTATAACTTCATATACTGTAGCATCAAACATATCAAGACAATGTAAAACCATTCAAGAGAATGACAGTATAACAAGGTATTTAGAACCAACTAACAGAAAATAAACAATGGTTTATATAATGTGTACTTTTTTTGCAAATTTTTAGATATTGGGTTACTGGATTACTATTAGTGCTTTTCAATGGCATCTGTGTTGATGTGAATTTGTTATCTTCCTCAGATTCATATTTTCTTTCAATAAATAGAGCACCATGTTAGGTACATTTACAGAATTCAGGGAAGAACTGATGGAATCACTCTTGTTCTTACTCATCTGTCCCCTGTTATGTAATTGGTGTCACAGGTCCCACTTTTTCTGATCAGCTGTATTATCAGTGTTTCAATCTGTCACCCAATGCACTAATTATAGCTTAAGATAGACTGCACTGAAGTAATACATAAAAATAGTACACAAAATTTCAAAGAATCTATAAACAAAATATGTTATTTAGACAACATTCTAGCATATCTGGCTGTGATTTTTAAAAATTATAAAATTTTTCTCTGTATTTCAAACCTTCTGACTTGTTTAGAGACTAATTTTGCCCACCGTACCAAAAGAATAAGTAAAATAAACAGCAAAATGCTTGACAGGATTTATAGAAAATAGAATAGAAATTTATAATTAAAAAAGCAAAGTATTTGTATAGCTCTTATCCCAAAATGTTAATTTAATCAGTGATTATTCTACATAGTATACATTTCCACCTAACTTGTGTATTTAAATAACAGCAAAGATTTCAAGATGCTATTGTGATTTTTCTTATGGAAGCCTTCAGTTCATTAAAAATCAAAATGACTGGGTGGATTGATTTTGAAACAAGTTAATACAGTGTCTCCATAATTGTGGTCATAAGCCACAATATTCAGTTTAATCCCACTTCTGCTCCAGCACTCAGATTTTATTCTAAATGATTCACTGTTCTCTGCTTCTCCCTCTAGAGTTCTTAAACGATATCTTCCAGCCTCCCACAGCATCCCTATGTTGAGTATAGGTACAGTCTCATTAACAATGCTATCATCAAAGATTGATTTGGGATTTGTTCCTCACAAAGTGCAAGTTAAGGAGAGCACTTTCCCAATAGAAGAGAGATCACTTGAGACTCAGAAGGGCACAGAGCAGCCAGCCATTTATCTGTCTCAAGCTTAAACACCAGGCAGGTCTGGAGAGAGAAAGATCTTCCAGTGGGCTCTGCTAGTCTCAGACTCAGTGTGACCTGTCGGTAGGTATAACACAAAGAAAATGGAAAAAAAAATAAAGAAAGGAAAAGCACTAGAAACTCCTGGGACTGAAAAATAAAAGAAATTCTCAAATATTTTCAACCAAATACTACAACCACAAAGACTTTTAGGGCTGTGATTTAGAAAACAGCAAGTATATTTCTAATCTTAATGCTTGAGTTGATGATGTCTTTACTTATAATTAAGGTTGATATATTTCCTTTGGTAATTTCTCCTGATAGCTTGGAAATGGTAATCTTGATTTATTGTTTACATTTCAATAATATGTCAATTTGATTGTCACATGTAATATTTTCATCTGTAGGACAGTGATTTACTATCAATATGTGACCATTCGATCTCTATACAAAAACCCTCAACATGAAATTCTGTTTTTGCAAGGCAGACTTTTCTGTTTGGAAACAGGTCTCTGTAATAGGTTCCTTTTATCTATTAAACCACAACATGCATATCATGTTGTAGCACCCTTTCCTTGTTGACAGTATTTTTCCTAAAGCGTGTAATGAATCAAAACTATTAAGGAAAATAATATCAGAATAATTAAATATTATTTCTGAAGCCATTGATTCTATTCACTACACTAATCAGAATTCATTTCAGAAAACAACAGATTAAGCTTATATTTTATCTTACTTATACTTTGCATTTTACAGAAAATCAAGGAAACTTGGGTTTGGAAGCACCAAAACATTTAAAGAGCTGTGCTATGAAAACTACCAGGAATAAAAGGCAGATTTATAAGCTTTACAATCTACTCCTCTTCCAATTTTTGTGACAGGAAATGAGGCTTAAAATCTTAAGATATTTACTTAAATTGCATAGAGTAAGTATTAGGGCTCCATGCAATACTCCAATGATATTCTGATTTTTAATGTAGCAAGACATCTTTCAGAATGACTACTTAGCAATAAGTTACAGTGTGCTTTTCACCTAATGAAATTGAAATATGAAATGCTTTCATTTAGATGAATATTTATGACATATGTATGCTACAGTAGTACTTCAGTAGATATGTCACCGTATTTTGTGCTACTACATATGTAGCAAAAGCTGCATTCACAGTGCAGACAATGTAAATCTAACTTTTTTATGTTAAAACTGTAACTTGTGTCTAACATAAAAACATAATTTAGGAGAAACTTAAAAACTATGCATTGACTTTAAAAATAAATTGAGAAAATACTGAATTAAGACCTTTGGAAGTCCTGTGATGTTTACAATGCTTAAGTTTTATTGGTCTTGTTCTCTACTGTTTTGTTCAACTTTATAATATCTAATGAGATAGACAATTCTTTTTAAGGAAACGAGAGACATTGTTGATAACCATTGTTGATAACCTTGTACTATGTTTTACATCATGTGCTATGTCTATCCTTGGTTTTGACTGACAGCTTTGTTTTGCCATATTTGACTTTATCCCCCCCCCAAAAAAGTAATAAGAACTAAGGAGTAATAAAACCCAAAATGTGTAAATTTTGTTGTAAAAAAGAGAGGGAAAAAAAGAGCTCTAAAGGATACAACAGCAAGAGTGTTTAGGGGTGTTAAATAGCTGACCATATTAATGTTTTTGGTTGGATCATTGAACACAACTGTTTGCAGTCTCACTGTTTGAATGTCCACTTTGTATGCTTTGATACTGTGATTTGAGCAACTATCTCTAAGATGATAATATGTAATCTATTAACTGGTGATTTCTTACTGTTTTTTTTTTTTTTTTTTTTTTGTAGTTCTGTATTACTTGTACCCTTACACTGCTTTGTTTGGTTTGGTTTTTCTCTTTTTCCTTTTTAATAAAATTTTTTAAAAAAGACCTGAGATTAAGTTAGCAAATACTGAAATAAAATGAAAATGATACAAATTAATCAATAAGTAAAACTAATATTATGTTATATTAATACTACTATATTCAGTGTTTTAATAACTGTGGTATACTTTACTTAATTTTTCAGTAATATTTTTCATTTTCTGTGATAGTTTTATAAAACATGATGCAGCTGATATATCTTTAAATAAGTCTACAATTAATGAAAGTTAATCAATTATGTGACTTTTTAAAATGTTGCTTTTATAATTTTTGTTTATTTGGATTTTGTGACTTCAATTTTTAATATATTCATGAAGTATATTGACAATATATTGGTCTATTTCTTACACTGTATATATACATTTTTAAATGCATTTTTCACCCAAAATAGGGTGATTAAAATATTTAACAAGTGGAAGAAAACCTCATTTCTGTAGAAATAATTTTGGCTAGTAACTTTCTAACTGTGCTCCCTATACAGAAATAAAGCATAGAAAACCACTCATTCAATTTGCTCTATCTCTACTCTTTAACTGATCTTTATTATTCATATCTGAAAAATTAACATGAAATTACTATTTCTTGAAACATTTTCTAATTTCATATTTGTCATTAAGAACAGCCATTGTTGCTCCAAACCATCATACTCTCCACATAATATACCAACAGATGTCCCAAATCCTTTGATACCATCAACATTGACTGGCTAAGTATTCCAGGGAGGAGTCCATCCATTCCAGAAACTGAGGATCCAGGTACTGTATCTTTAAATTGAGCTTTCTTTGAAGTCAAAGCTCTGCTTTCTGGATCTTTCTTACTACAACTCCCTGCTCATAATGTGGGAAACATGTTCAATGTCTAAGAGATAATAACAGCAGGTCACAAATGTTGAATGTTAAACAGAAGCTAGGCTGGCGGTAGGAAATTAAGAATTATACACTTGTTACATATTTATGGGAAGTTTGTTTCTGAGAGGTCTTCTCCCTTCTGCAGAGAAATTTATCAAGGTTTATTCCCCTATGCATCAAGTAAAAAAGACTTTAATATACAGAAATTTGCCGAGGATTATTTTCCTGTGCAACAAATAAAAGAAACTTTATTTGATGCTTATTTTATGTAGTACAATCCAAATAACACTATAAAAACTGTTATAAACAGCATTGCATAGAAGAAAATAATGCAGTAACTTCAAAATGCTTTTGTGTCTTTCTCCCTAGGAATCAGACTTTTAGGAACTCAGGCTAAGGATGTCCACTTGCAACAACTCTATTCCTCAGCCTTTGATATTTGTTCTGGCTGGAATACCTGGCCTGGAAACTGCCCATGGGTGGTTTTCTGTGCCTTTTTTCTTGATATTTGTCATTGCGATCATGGGCAATGCCACCATCGTGTGTATCATCTGGATGGAGAAGAGTCTGCACGAGCCCATGTTCCTCCTCCTAGCCATGCTATCAGCAGTTGACATGTGCTTGGTCAGTGTCATTGTGCCCCGCATGCTGGGCATATTCTGGATGAATGCAAAGGAAATCGGCTTCGGTGCCTGCCTCACACAGATGTTTTTCATCCCTTCCTTCTATGTCATGGAGTCTGGGATCCTCTTGGCCATGGCTTTTGATAGATTTGTGGCTATCTGGTACCCACTGAGATATATAACCATACTTGATGTGAAGGTGCTTGTAAAGATGGCACTAGCCATCCTGGCAAGAGCAGTAGCAGTGCTAACCCCAGCACCCATCTTGGCAAAACGACTAGAAATTTTTCAAACCCACATAATTGCATACTCCTACTGTGCCTACATGGCTGTGGTGATGATAGCTTGTGGGGACATCTCTGTCCATATTGCCTATGGCCTCATGGTTATAGTAGCATCAGTGGGATTTGATTTGTTTTTTATCATGCTGTCCTATGGACTTATCCTTCATGCAGTCTTTCAAATACCGTCTTGGGAAGCTCGGGGAAAAGCTTTCAGCACATGTGGCTCTCATCTTTGTGTTATCGGCCTCTTTTATTCTCCTGTTGTCTTTTCTGTCCTTGCCCAGATTTTAGGCTACCATATGGCTCCCAATCTACAGATCATCACTGACAACCTTTACTTCCTGGTTCCTCCCATGGTCAATCCTTTGATTTATGGGGTACGAACCAAACAAATGAGGGAGTGGGTTTTACGTGTCTTCCATTGTCAAACAGACTGAGTTGGCACTTTTGATGGACAGAAGATCCGGTGATGTGGAACTGGACTTCAGAGCAGGTTACAGGTAGAGATAATTCTTTCCAGGCTTGCATTTTCACAGAAAAATCAATCACCAATGTAAGAGGGAATCTGCTTGGGAATGTAACTGGAGAATGGTCCTATCAGCGTGGAATTGGTATTAAATTCTTACAACCAGAATATTCCTTAAATACTTATGTAAATAATAAACTAAAATAACGTTTTGCTCTGAAATTTATTGTTGATCATATCATGTCATGTAAATTAGACACACTTTGCAAATGAGGTTAAAATGCAATTTGGATATATATGATTCACATTTATGGTTTAAAAATAAATATTAAAATGTATGTTACTTTAATTTTTTTTCATATTTGTGTTTTTTTTTTTTTTTTTTTTTGGTCTTTTTCCTTTTTATCGCTCAAGATTGCCTGAAAGGCAGGCGCTTATGCTGCTGAGATAAACCTCCAGCCCCACATATCTGTGTTTTAACTAAGCAGCAGCACAAAATAATATAACGTGGAGTTTAACCCCATAAAATAAATATACACAAATAGCTATAACTGTAAGTATACAAATGAATAGTGAGCTACCTACCTTTGACTAAAGGCTTTAGAAAAACTAAACAAAAGAAAAACAAAATCACCTTTGATAATAAATAATAAATTGAACCTAAGAGGTAAACAGTTTACAAATGAAGAAAATATCTTGAAAGTTATTTTTTCTTCTAATTTCAATTCTACTTTCTACCTAGCTAATTTCATCTTTTTTATGATTTAATTATTTATCATATATCTCAGCTCATAAATTCTGTCTGTGCCCCAGAAAGGAAATTGCAAATGCCTCATGAACCACTTTGCAGATAAACCTTGAATTTATTGTTTCCAAAAATAAAGTTTTGCAAATTTTTAATTTAGTGTTATAAACATTGCTTACTATGAAATAGGCCCTAAAAACATAGATCTGCTGTATTGAACTTACATGGAAAAATATTGTACTGTTAATAAACTTTTGATTTTTCTGGGCAACTATAATGATTCTCTGTATTTCCCACTTTTTTTATTTGACTTCAGTTACTTTAATTTAAAATTTAATTTTAGTGGCAAGAATTGCCACTGAGCGATGTTTCTGGGTATTAAATTCTATTTGGCAACTCAAAATTACCTAGTTTTTCTGTCTACATACAACTGATCACAATTGCTTTGTACATTCGTACTAACTTCTTTTCTACCTTATACTTTTGTTACTTGCATGCATTTCAGAAAGACAAAATCTTTCTGATTAATCTTTGTACCTCTATTTCTCTTAATGAAAAGTGGCAACACTGCAACTAGAGTAGTCTTTTTCAAGCAAATATCTCATTTTATTCACTTAAAATTTGTAACATTCTGTTTCTCAAGGCAAATTCAACACCATGGTGTATTTTAAAGTCTTAACATGACTGGCTGCCAACTGATCTCGCCAGATGAACTATTCTCACTAAATCATAGAGTAAGCATCCTTGCAGCCAAACCTGATTGCTTTATTGTAAAGCCCCAGGTGCTCCTCACCACTTTAGCTCTTTTTCCCAAGAGAAGGCATTTCCGCTCAATCATTCTTAGTCAAAAATTTTCCCACACATGGAGACATGTTTCTGAAATGTTGTCCTTAAGGATTATTTTTAAATAGTATCACTCTGACCTTTCCTTTCATTCTGGCTTCTGCAGATGTCTTTGCCTGTGATCTATTCTGTATCACAGCTGTCTCATCACAAACTTTGCCATTCCTGCTACACTGACCTTTAGTTAACAGCAGGGGCCAAGCCAGGTAGTTCAGTTGTTCACAGGCTTTACACTAATATCTCAGTGTTAAAAATGTTATTAGGCAATAGTAATCCAAGGAGTATAGCTAGGGAACTGGGCCCTATCCTCCATCTCTAATTATTATAGCTAAACTTCCCTAGGTAGTGTAGAACAAACATAAGCACAGGTGATATTCACAGTCAGGAACGTGCACAAGTATATACTTCTAAATGACATTTGCAATCCTTTTATTTATGTATAAACAATTCTCTGACTCTGTCTTTCCAACTCTCTCATGATTTCATACTTACATATATGTGTATTCATACACGTCCCCTGTGATATGCATTCATACATAAGAATACATATGCATATGTAACATATATATTAAATCATATCTATAGATTTGTTCAATGACAGTTAAGCTTCTTATACTTTGCATGCACCAATTTTCAGAGTAACATATTTGCTCAAATAGATGAGTGGCCTAGTTCATCATGTTTCCATCACATGCTCTTAGTCAGCTTCTGGAACTCAAGCACAAGCCTACTTTCTTCTTTTGGCTTTTCTTGATCTTACCTTTCTTATTTCCTTTATCAAATATTGTTTTCTATTTAGTTGGTCTTTCTTTCTTTCTTTCTCTCTCTCTCTCTCTCTCTCTCTCTCTCTCTCTCTCTCTCTTTCTTTCTTTCTTTCTTTCTTTCTCTCTTTCTTCCTTTTAATCTTTTTTGAGGCAGAGTTTCTTTAAATGGTTAAGGCTGACCTTGAACTCACTCTGTAGCTCAGGCGGCTTTTAACTCGCAATGATTCTCCTGCCTCCGCCTTCCAAGTGTTAGGGTTACAAGCGTGTGCCACCATACCCAGCTTTTTGTTAGTGGTTTTAAATTCCTCTTCTTGTTCCTCAGTCATGATTCAAATAAAACAATATGAAATCGATTTATTCACTCACTAAAATGAGTAGTATGTCTATTTTTAGAATAGAATCAAGAATTTCCATATCAGAAGTTTAATAAATATCTTTTTAATAGATCACTTATTTTCAAATAGCTAATTTCCTGAGAAAAAGATGATAAGATAATGCATACACTTAAACATTTAGTCCACTAAAATAATGAACAAGAGAATAAAACCATAAAGGAAAAGAAATAGGAACCGAGGGAAATGGAGGAGGCTAAGGAGAGCCTGAAATTTTGTCTTCCCAGATCACTTTCTTCTCCATATTACAGTGGTTTCAGAGTGAGGGCTCTTCAAGTCTTTCTCTTTATATATATATATATATATATATATATATATATATATATATATCTTTAAAAACAAAAAAGTATAAAAACAGTAATACAGAATTTCAAAACAAAATAGTAGTTTAACACTGATAAATATATTGTGTATTGTTATCATCAAAGTTGTTCAGATTACAAGACACAGGTATGAAAAGAATGACCAATCGAACAATGAAGGTACAAACTGTTCTTTTTGAGGAACAGAGATTAGTAGCATAGTTATCTCTCTGGTATATGTATACATACTTATACATTAGTAGCATAGTTATCTATCTCATATATATATATATATATATATATATATATATATATATATAGGCATGCAATCTTTTCCCTTCTTTGTTTCCTCCTTTTCCCCATCCCAGTTGTTGTTTCTTTTCAATCATTTTTTTCCTTTGCATTTTCACAATATCTGTAGCACATTTTGGATATTGTTTACTCTTTCAGTTTTTTACATTAGGGAGACAATATGATGTTTACACACATGAGTCCGATTCACTTATGAGTATGGTCTCAAGCTACCTACACAAAAGCCTCAAGTTTATCCTACATTATAGCTCAGTAATACACCACTGTATGAAGAAATGTTCAACTTCACTGGTTATTCAAAAAGCACAGGTAAAACACTGAGATTTCATCTCACTTCAGAAAAAATGACTGTCATCAAAAATCAACCAATAACAAATGTTGGCAAGGCTGAGGTGGAAAATGAACGCTTTCCCACTGTGTATGTCAGCGTAGATTGGCACAACCACTGTGGAAGTCAGGTGGAGATTACTGAAAAAACTAGGATTGGAGGTCCCGTTCCATCCAGCTATTCGCCTTCTGAGTATTTTACCAGAAGAATTGAAAACATCATGCCACAGCAATACATTTGTACCCATGTTTATAGCAGCACAATTTGTATAAGTAATTCCTGGAAACAACCTAAATGCCCATCAATGATGAACTGGTAAAAATAATGTGATATTTTTGTACAAAGGAGTATTATTCAACTGTTTTAAAATATTATTTATGATACTCTTTCTCAGCACCAGAGGTCCAATGAATTTTGCTTCTCAATTATTAAAGTCAACCTTTGGAAACTCCAGACAACTGCAGAATATAGCTCTTTGATTGGTTGAAATTGGCTTACTATTCCCACTTATGGTCCTGTACAGGGCTTCATTACAAAAATACTGGAAGGTGGAATGACCTCAAACTTCACAAAGATGCACAATCCTTGTGGTTTATTTCACTGACAAGCCTGTTTCTTTAGAACTTCTCCCTCTAGGTCTCTCTGTACCATATTAGGATGATTTTCTTCCATTATGTTGAAAGGCTTCAAGTGGTAAAAGGCAGAAATTGCTAAGCCAGACATGTTCTATACCCAAAACCAACACTCCCACAGTATTCTCCTCATAACTAAAGAATCATCTGAAATTCAGTGGTTAGGAAATAAACACACAGGTGCCTTGGAAATGTAGTTGGGATAATAGTACTAGATCATCTTTGAAAATCCTTTCTCTGTGCCTTCTCTCTGGCTACACCAACTTATGTACTTTGTATATGGTATAAAACAAATTAAAAGATTTAAAGTACAAATTTAAGTACAGATTTAAAGAACAATTAAATAGACAAATAAACGTTTAGGTTAGTAGATCTGATATTCTAAACAATAGAAAAAAGACTGATAATTTCCCCCACTATTGTATTCTATGATTTTGTTTGAAAAGAACTATTTCATATACTTTGGAAATCTAAGTTGTTTTATCTATTCTTTGTGTACTTTTCTTTCAAAAAATATAAATGGTCTTCTGTTCCTAGGAAATATACAGAACAATTTTATTAAAAAATATTTTAGTCCAGGATAAAAAAAAAAAATTTGACTCTGTCTCTCTCTCATGTGTGTGTGTGTGTGTGTGTGTGTGTGTGTGCGTGTC